AGATGAGGTTTCACCATGTTGACCAGGATGGTCTCGATCTCTTGACCTCGTGATCCACCCGCCTCGGCCTCCCAAAGTGCTGGGATTACAGGCGTGAGCCACTGCGCCCGGCCTGAGCATTTTGTTCTGATTGAATAGTGGGGACGATCAGGTCCGTGAATCATTTCTGAGGCAAAGAATAGGGCCCCAGGGGGTCTGAGCCTGGCCTTGTCATCTGCAGCAGTCTTAGTGGTATGGGAAGGGCGGTCCTTGCTGTGCCCAGTTCCAGCGCCCAGCAGGGTGGGGAAATGGCTTCACCTTTTCTGGTTTCCGGGCACACAGAGCTGAAGTCGGTTCAACATTGTCACCTGACAGCTGCAAACAGCCTCGTCTGTGTCCAGCTCAGCATGAGTTTTGCTCCTATCTCAGCCCCAGGTTTCAGTAAATGTAAAATCATGAGGCTGGGCTCGGTGATGAGCACCCTGTGGTCCCAGCCACTCGAGCGGCGAGAATCACTTGAACCTACAAGTTTGCGGCTGCACCACTGCACTCCAGCCTGGGCAACAGAGCTAGACTGTGTCTCCAAAAAAAAAGAAAAAGAAAAAGTATAAATGCTTTTTGCATTGTTTTCTTGTCCTTAGTGAGGGCAGTGAGTGTCTTGGATGTGTTCTTTGCTTTCCGCCCCTGCCTGGTGTTATTCTTTGGCTGAGCCTGAGAAGGCTGCTGTGGAAAACTCTCAAATTCGGAAAATGTTGCACACACAGCCCCACACCATACTTCGAGGTGGGTGGAGGTGTGGGTCGAAGAGATTCACGGAACTAGCACTGACCTAGGCACGGGGCAGAGATTGTGCCTGCACAGTATCTGCACGTCAGATGGATGTGAATTCTGTAAAATACATCCTGCAGTACTGAGAAGGGTCCATTCTGATTAGCTGATTGACAAACAATTTATCACGAGGATAATCTTGAACTGGTAGCTGTTTTCTGCAGGGGACTGTTTGTGGGATTAAAAAAACTTCTAGGTTAGTCTTCTGGAATCCACCACTCACCCCTTTGTCCTTTAACCCATGCTGAAAGTGGTGATTTGGCT